CTGCAACGAGAGGGAAGTATTATTGGAAGGGCGGAAGGGGTTACATAAAAAAATAGCTTTGTGAAGAGAAATATTGTGCTGCTTTTTGGAAATATGTTTTCCTGAACTTTGAGACTACTTTTACTTTAGCCTGATAATAAAACATGAATGCAGATCAGAAAACGAGTCCTTTTTCCTAGAAGAATAAAAAGAGAAAATTAAATGCCAGAAGTAATGGACAGGAAATAACCCATTTATTTGATTGGACTCTTTACGTTTGTAAATTAAACATCACTTGGCGATATGAGAGCGAGAGTGACTTCCTTAATAATGGAATTGAGGTGTCACTTGTTTCACGTGAAAATCAACACGCCAGTTTTTATTTATCGATATCTAACGCTTTCTTTGATCTTGTATTTCGTGAGAAATTTCTTCTTTGTTTTCTAAACATCTTTTTTTTATTTATGGTATGAGCGAGTAAATGTAATAGTGTGCGTGCGTGTGTGTGTGTGCGTACGTGAGCGTGTTTGCGATCCCCATAATCCGAATTGTATTGTTCTAACCAGTCATTAATTGCATCGTTCTGCGCCGCAATTAACCCTCTCTCAGCCAAGGTTTACGAACCACAGAACCCAAACTGACAAACATCGACACTAGACCAAGACGTCGCCATAAAAAAAGCGAATTCCAATAGACGCGGTGTTGAAGGTAAATAGTTACATAGACACTGTGGTTTAGTTAATCCCCCTGCGGTTTGGGCCAATCTTCGCGAATCTCGTCTTTTCCTGATGAGGACTGCATGGTACGCATGACGTGTCTGGCGATCTTGCGGTTCGGGTCTTCAGTCATGCACTAGTATTACTCACTTTGGATTATTATACAGGAAGGAAAATGTACTATGTTGATTGTTATGCTAAGTGCTTTGAATTCTTTTTACATCGGTTGGATGATGGAAAGTTAATTCTGGTTCTTGCGAGGTGTTATTAAGTGCGTGATTAAAGGAAGTTATGCGTTTAATTTCATCTTAATATCATAAGTTCCTCATGACGCAAATTACCTAATACATGATATCTTCAAAAAAATGAATATTATTTTCAGATCTTTACTTTCACCTATTAAAATCACTTTCATCTGCGGGAAACAAGATGTGATAATAAAGAAATATTAAATCTTAATCGTGATGGTATGAAAATATCAATTAACTCTTCATTTCGTACTTTCCTTTGAAGTTATCTTTCTTAACCCCCCTAAAACATACCCTATTGGTTTCTGTATCACTGATTTGTAACTTATAACTTGTTTTCATAAAATATACATTACTGATTCCAACTTGTGCTTATAACTTACGTCTACACATTCCCTAACAGCCAAATCGATCAAATATCCTTTATTAATCCATATCCTCTTGCTAATTAATTCAGTGTTTAGAACAGCTGGAATTCCCTTTCGATTAATACCAAAAAAACAAAAAAAACTGAAATGTGTATGTCCATGAAGTCTGCAAGTTCTTTTACTTTCCATTGCAGGTTAATTGTTTCATTTTTCTTATCAGGTGTTGAGGATCCTATTATGTTTCGAGAAGAGAACGTGTGTGTGTGTGTGCGAGTGTGTGTGTGTGTGTGTGTGTGTGTGTGTGTGTGTGTGTGTGTGTGTGTGTGTGTGTGTGTGTGTGTGTGTGTGTGTGTGTGTCTGCGTTTGCGTGTATGTCTGTGTGCGTATGCATGTACGTGCATTACACCTGCATTCATAAGTGCATTTATTCTCTCCCATTTTAATATTTTAACAGAAGGTCTTTCCTTTCTCTCCCGACCAGTTATTCGGGTCGGTTTTGGCTAATAAATTTCGTGTCAGACAAATTTACGCAACGTTTAAAAGGTCAACGGAACACAGCACCAGAAGCTCTCAAAATCATTCTTATTTTTTTCCTAAGGATTGTTAACTTGCATGAGAATAGACAATTTATGAAATGTCAGTTCCAAGTTAATATGAAGTTATATCCTTTACTTTGGTTAAAACATGGGGATATTTGCATCATGAAAAGTGTTCAAAAAGTAAATAAATATCTTAGACATTTTCTTGCCCTTCACATATTTTTTTTTCATGGCATATTCTGTGTTATGAAACTTGCATATATCTTAAAATCACTTTCAGAGGAACCAGTTTGGAAGGGATGATAATGCAGATACACACTTACACAATGTGCAACAATTTCCGAATATGTAAAAGACCCAAGCAATACCATAACATAGATATCATAAGAGGAGAGGAGGGGAGGGGAGAAGAGGGGAAGAGGAAGAGGAGGGGAAGGGGAGGGGGAGAAAAAGAAGAAGAGGAAGAAAAAGAAGAGGAATAAGGGGGAGGAGGAAGGGGAGGAGGAGGAGGAGGAGGAGGAGGAGGAGGAGGAGGAGGAGGAGGAGGAGGAGGAGGAGGAGGAGGAGGAGAGGAGGAGGAAGATGAGGAGGAGAAAGAGAAGAAAAAGAAGTAGAAGGAAAAAGAAGACAGGGGAAGGAGGAAAACAAGAAGAAAAGGACGAAGCATAAAGAGAAGGAGCAGAGATGGAGTAGAAGATGGGGAAAGACGAAAAAAAATATTAAAGAAAAAAGAGGTGAGGAAGAGGAAGAAGAAGAAGAAGAAGAAGAAGAAGAAGAAGAAGAAGATGAAGAAGACGATGAAAATGAAGAAGAGAAATAATAAAAACAGGATAATAACAATGACAATAAAGCCGAAAAGGAGAAAAGACCAAGAATAGAACAGGAGAAAAAAGAAATAGAGAAAAAAAGAAAGAAATAGAGAAAAAAAGAAAGAAATAGAGAAAAAAAGAAAGAAACAGAGAAAAAAAGAAAGAAATAGAGAGAAAAAAGAAAGAAATAGAGAGAAAAAAGAAAGAAATAGAGAGAAAAAAGAGAGAAATAGAGAGAAAAAAGAAAGAAACAGAGAAAAAAAGAAAGAAATAGAGAGAAAAAAAAAGAAATAGAGAAAAAAGAAAGAAATATCTTCCATCATCCCATACATATCGTCACTCTCCGTCCGACGCCACGCCCCTCCTTGTGAAAGTGGAACATACCCCGTCAGCGTCAGGCCTAAAATCCGCCCCCCCCTCCCCCGCCCTCTTTTCCCCAGGGCTTCGGGAAACCAGTCGGGCATGGAGGAAAGTGCATGTGGAGAAAAGGGTATTGGGAAAGGGGTGTACAAAGAGCGGGTTGCGGGACGAAGGAAGAGTGGGGTGGTGGTGGAGGTGGAGGTGGAGGTGGAGGTGGAGGGGGAGGGGGAGGGGGAGGGGGAGGTGGAGGTGGTGGTGATGGTGGAGGTAGTGGTGGAGGTGGAGGTGGTGGTGATGGTGGAGGTAGTGGTGGAGGTGGAGGTGGAGGTGGAGGAGATGGAGGTGGTGTTGGTGGTGTGGGTAACGGTGTTGGAGGTGGTGGTATTGGCTGGTTGTTTGTGTTAATGCGTATTGTAAAGCTGGTGTGATTTTGGTCCTATTTTGTCTGTCTGTGACTCAGGCTTTATCTATCTACATATCTACATTTGCTTCTCTATCTTTCCACATATATAGGAATCTATCTGTCAATCTATATATCTATCAGTCTCTCTCTCCTTCCCTTCCTCTCTCTCTCTCTCTCTCTCTCTCTCTCTCTCTCTCTCTCTCTCTCTCTCTCTCTCTCTCTCTCTCTCTCCTCTCTCCTCCTCTCCTCCCTCCCTCCCTCCCTCCCTCCTCTCTCTCTTTCTCCCTCTCTCTTCTCCCTCTCTCTTCTCCCTCTCTCTTCTCCTCTCTCTTCTCTCTCTCTCTCTCTCTCTCTCTCTCTCTCTCTCTCTCTCTCTCTCTCTCTCTCTCTCTCTCTCCTGTTGCTGTTTACTTATGTTATTAAAGTGTTAAAAGAAAATCAGTCACCCCAATACCTGTATATTTTTATGTATGTGTGTATGTATATATTTACTTCTATCTATCTACCTATCTATATTATCATGAATGTAGGAAATAATCTTTCCTTTCTGCGTTTCCGTCTGCAATAAAAAAGATAAACAAATTGCCTTATTTATATTTAAACGAATGAAAAACACACGATGAAAGAAAACGAGAGAGAAAATACGAAAAAGAAAACGAAGAAACGAACAGAAAACCTGCTCACCAATTCCGCTTTTATTCATCCGTGAATAAAATCGACATGGCGGGAATGCCTCACCCACGAATGAGCAGAAATAGATATTGAAAAAATTGTATCGCTGTCTATCATCATTGTTTTCTTTATTAGGATTAGAATGACGGTCGAATTAATTGAATTGCGACACCGGTGTATTTCACGGTGACTCGAACCTCAGATTCGAACGGCAAAATCGAATGTTTCTCAGCGCTCGAACGAAACCTAATAATATACTCGGTTTGCGACGTTTATATTCTCTCTCTTTGTCTTTGGATATCGTTTGATCACTTGTCTAGACTACCTTGACTGCCTGTCTGTCTGTCTATTTATTCATCTTATATATCTGCCTATCGATCTACTATCTATTAGTTCACCTTTCTATATATATCTTTATCTTTTGTATTTATTCATCCAATCAGTCTCCCCCTCTCCCTCCTTCCCGTCCTCCCTCTCCCCCTCCCCCTCCCTCCCCTCCCCCCTCCCTCCCTCCCTCACGAACACGAAAGCACACAGGCAATCTGTATCTCATCACATGTCAATCACTTTTCCCTTTCTTCAGTCAGTGCATGACATGTCAGTCACAGGCTGAGGTCACGCCATGCACGCCTGACCTTAACTTTCTGAAGTATCTCATGAGAGGAAAAGTTGCAGTGGACTGTAAAATGCGTTTCTTATTCTCTCTCTCTTTCTCTTTCTATTCTGTATTTATTTATGTGTGGTAGGTGGGTGGTGGTGGCGTGCGTGCGTGCATGTTCGTGCATGCGCGCGTGTGTGTGTGTGTGTTTGCGTGTGTGTGCGTGCGTGTGTGTGTGCGCGTGTGCATGTGCGTGTGCGTGTGTGTATGTGCATGTGCATGTACGGATGTAGTAAGCATATACACAA